AACCTTCATAATGGCACGTTTTACTACACTGGGTGAGTTTCCTTTAATCCTTAACAAAATACAGGTTAAAAAATTCTTTTGTTTAGAATAAACAGCAAAAGGCTAATTAGAACGTTGATTTTGGAAAGTTACAAACAGACTAAGAGTCTAGATGGATTTGAAATAAAATTTTGAAAGTAATTATAAGAATCTTTCCTGTGGGAAAATGCTGTTTTATATATATGTATGAATGATAAAATGGGATTTTGAAGGCTGGGCACTAGAGAGAAATAGAAGGAATGACCTGGATAACTTTCCTATATTGGATTTACAAAAGGGACTTCTAAAGTTTTGAAGAATTTTGTGAGAAGGGACAAAGAAAAAATGAGAAGAAATCAAGTTCTAGGACACTACTTGAGGGGATTAAGGATTAGGATTGTTAAAAGTAAAGGGGAGGAATGTAAAGTTGTTTTATTTGATCAAGGTTAAAATAGATATATTGTTTTCTCTGGTAACCCTTAATGGACTTTTGCTGATCAGGGCTGAATGAGGAGGCTTTCAAGATTTGTTTATAGATAAGAAATGAGATATGGGAAGAAGAGAGTATTTGTTGTATCTTAAGAGAAGTTAGAAATTACGAAAATTGTTTATACTTGTTGTTATGAAGGGGAAAGTCTCTTCTTTATATATTTCTTTTTTTCTTTTTTCTTTATTTTCTGCAATTTCTTTTCTTTTCTTTTTTTTAGTTTGTATTAGTTCTTATCTTTTTAATTGGAATGTTCAATAAAATTATTATATAAAAAAGAAATGGCAAAATTGATCTGTTTGGGGATAGGACAACAAGTACTTTTATTAAAGACCGGGAACTTCTTATGGATTTTTTGCTGAAAACAGAAAAAACAAATTGGTGATTTATGGATTTGCTGATTAAAATGGTTGAATATGGGAAGAACGGAAGTATGATGTAACCTTAAGGAGGGAGAAAAAATATTAAGTTTGTAACTGCTGTAAAGAAGATAGGAAGTCGCTTCTTTATATATATATTTTTTCTTTTTTTTTTACTTCACCATTTTTCATACTTTATCTTTTCTCTTTTTCTTCTTCTTACTTTTAGTTTATATTATTTCATGTTTATCTTATCTTTAATAAAAATTATATACATAAAAAACAAAGTACTATCTCACTATAATTCAATTTCTGTCAATTTGGAGGGGTATTTGGCATATATAGACAAAATGTTCTAGCACTTTTCTGTGCTTCTTAATTAAACATTTCCTGCATTAAGACCCAGCCCAATAAATTGCTTTTTGTTGATCCCAGCTAGGGAGTTAATGATGGATATTCTATTAATTGCATGGCAGGAGTGATTTATTTGTAAACACTAAGGAGGTAGGAACCTTCAGTTTAATTCTATCTTCAGCCAGCCATAGTAGAGTAACACCTCAGTAATGCTACAGGGTTCTAGTATGAAAATATCCTTGTGAGAATCCTATGTGGGAAAGAAAAGAAGTTTGATTCTCAGGACTTCAAGAACATGCTGGATAGCTCAGGAATATACAAAATGGAAGTATGTATGGAACTGTACATTGGTCTGATCAAATCCAAATCTTGAACACATTCTGTTTTTATGAGCTTATTCACCAGCGCACTATGAAGCCAATTTCATCATGTGATTTTTCAGTAGATAATTTTATCACATAATAATATTTATTTTTCATTAATCAGTATGTTATTCTGCATCATTTCAATCAAAAGATTGAATGGCTAATTTTAGTTTTTCAAAATTTTTAATTTTTCAAAGCAAACTTGCTCAATTCACTTCTCCAACTTTGCTTTGGATGTAGCATAAGTCTGTTTAGAGATATGTTGAATGAATCATATAACAAAAACTGACCATGTGGGAAAGCCAATTCAGTTTGAATTTGTGTTAAAAAATCAGCTAATGCTCCATTGCATAAGTTTGAAGTGTTTCTTTTCTACCTCTTTCCAGTGCAGAAAGAAAACAGGGAAATGGCCTCACCTTGTTCCTTCCTTCCACAAACTCTGTCCAGGTGTCAATGCTTTCAATGGGGTTCACAGCATCCATCTGTGACACATCCTTCCAGTCCTTACATTCAGGCATCCGGTCCCGCTGATGGCGTTGTACAGCCCTTGGTCTGCTTCAGTTTATGTAGAACCCACAAAAGAGAAAGAGATGGAAAAAATAAGATAACCTAACAAGGAAATAATGCTTTACAGAGAAAAGCAGAATAAACCTGCAAGACTGAACATGTTAAAATCATATCTACATCTACGGCCGTCCATCCGTCCATCCGTCCATCCGTCCATCCGTCCATCCGTCCATCCATCCATCCATCCCCAATAAGGATATGATAAAATTTTCTCCCTCTCCAATAAAGCCAGAATGTTGGGGCCATCCAGTAAAATTGATCAACAGCAAGAAATGAAGAACACAAGTAGTCCTTCACACAATATATCAATCATTAGAGAATTTGCTCCATAATATTATGGTGGCTGTTAAGTTAGGCAGCTTTAAAAGGAGAATGACAAGTTCTCCTTCCAAGCAGGACTGTCCGTTGTGAAGGATTTATGGAATCTTGATATCCAGAGACCAGCAGATACTACTTCAGGGCAGCAAAAGAAGAAAAGATACAAAGGAAGAAGATACACAAGAATTGTTGGGCAGAATTCTTGGATAATTTGAACATAGCAAGAATATAATGGTTAGATATGCCTTCATTAAAGATGATGAGCAGAAATAACTTTTCTGTACTTGTGCACCACAGCAAGAATGAGAACCTGTTTTTAAAAACAGGAAATTGTTATGAATGGGATAAGCAGAAATGTTGTGGCCTTGGAAGACAGTGCTCATAAATCACTAGCTCCTCTTCCTCTTGACAGAGCCACAAAGAATTCTGGTGGGACTGGAAATGCCCTGATTTCCTTAGCCAGTCAAACTACATAGTTATGACATAGGTATTTTTATAGACACTTCACTTCCTTCTGGGTCAGTGGTACTTGCTATTACATTCCTCTCAACTATGGAGGCCGCTGTCTCAATAATAATAAACTTTTGCTGCCCATTGTCCTAACTGAAGGAAGAGGGGGACAAATTGACTCCTGTGCATTAACCATCTCAAACAGAGATAGAGATCCTATTATTGTCTTTGTTCCCAAGAACCTTCAAAAACTAATTTTACTGGGCTACAGTCTATCGTGTATTGTCAAACAATGGTTATGTGTAAAAGAATCCATCAAACAGACAACCAGGAAGATTTACTGGGCAAAGTTAAAATATATGAGAGTCACAAACAACAGGACAAGCACTGTCACACTGAGGGTAGAATGGGTAGCCATCACAAAGTGGTGTAATCTATATAACTGCTTGTGCTAAACTGACCAGAAAAAGGGTAGTTAGCCTCTCTGCTTCTCAACCCAATGATACTACACAAACTAGGCTGTGAGAAGTCACAAGATTTCATATGTTTCTCTTAGCAACTTGATTTCTTGATTTATTTGATTAATTTGGTATCAATTCTTAGCAAGTACATAGATAAACCTTCTCTAGGATGAGCTGTCCCCATCCTGGCTCTTCAGGTCTCCCAATGGTCCTCCATCACCACTGTAATCAAGACCATCCACCTTGCTGCTGGTCATCTTCTTTTTCCTCCCACTTTTCCCAGCAGTATGCACTTCTGAAATACCTTGACATTTGGTTTCTGATATCAGACAGGCTTCACACACTGTGCTAAGCCAAAAGTGGTTAGTTTGTGGTTTATCAAACTATGGGACCTCAGCCATTTATTTACTTAATAAAGCATGGTTGAATAAGCCATGTCTTAACACAATGTGTTCTTGTATTAAATAGTACTATCAGCAAAATTTAAATTTCTTAAATTTTGTCTTAAGTTTAAATGTTCCACTAGTTCCTTTTTTCCAAAACTGTTTTCCTCCATGTATCAATTTGTGGAACAGTTTAGTTCCTAACATTATTCTGCCTCTTAGAAATTACTTATTTTCACTCCTCCTTCTTTGCTTTAGAAATAGTTATTTATTTTGTTTTCTTATAACTAATTCTGCTTTCTGCTGTAATTGCAGGCATCTCTGTGTCCAAAACCTTTTTTGAGTTGGGATTTTAGTTGTCTGTTTCTGGGGTAGCTGCTTATACACTCTCAGTTGTTTCATCCAGCTTGGGCTGAAGACTTTCAACACCCTCTCAACTTTAAATTGCAAATTGTTACATCATTTTTGCAGATTCCCCCACATTCCACTTTCACAGGCAGTTAACAGAGTTTCCCCCTACATATGGCAGTGAAGACTTTCCATATGTATTTCTATTTCTCTTTTTATCTATATAGGAACTCCTCGACGTACGACCACAATTGGGACCGGAACTTACTGGAACTTCCATCACTAAGTGATGTGGTCATTAAGTGAGTCATGCTCGATTTTACAACCTTTTTTGCTGCAGTCATTAAGTGAATCACCATGGTTGTTAAGTGAATCATGCGGTCATTAAGCAAATCTAGCTTCTGCATTGACTTTGCTTGTCAGAAGCCCCTTGGGAAGGTCGTAAATGACAATCACGTGACCTCGGGATGCTGCAATTGTTGTAAATACTTGCGGGTTGCCAAGTGCCCAAATTTTGATCACATGACTGAAGGGACACTGTAACAGTTGTAATTATGAGGACTGGTCTTAAGTCACTTTTTTCAGTGACACTGTAACTTCGAATGGTCATTAAACGAATGGTCATAAGTTGAGGACTACCTATACTTTTAGATGTTTCTCAGCCCTTAATATTGCAATCAATCATTGTGGTATCTTTGCCTAAAACCTGGATATGAACAGAATCTTCTATAAAAGCCCAGATGGATCAAGCTACAGATCTATCTAATCCTGATTCCAGTTTTCTACCATTGCCAATAAGAAGACTGTAAGAAGCCCAACCACAGAACACAAGGAAATCAGTCCTCTTCTGCTGTGATTTCCCAGCAACTGATATTTAGTTTTGTTTTGCAGTAGGTTAAATTACAGTTCTGTGTGGTCCATTTAAGATTTCCTCAGGACTATTTGTAGTATTTGAATTATTATGCTTTGCCAATTTGATTGAGAAAGAAATAGGCTTGATGGAGCAAGAACAAAAGCATTCTTCTTAAAAATGCCTTAAAGTCTCTGGAGAAAAACTCTCTTGATTTACACAAAATCTCTTGATTTACTACGGCTTTAAATTAAATATGAAACTTTTTTTTTACTTATACTTTTTTTTACTAAGCGTACTAGTTTTTTGTTATATACTCAAGTAAGGATACAGCTTATATGTTGATGAGAAGTGTGTTTTATTTTTAAGCTAATAAATAGAAAACGTATTTCCAGCATCTGTCAATAATCAGTTTTGGAATTTAATGAAGTTAAATATGTACAAACCTACTATATGGTCTCTGCTACACTCATCCTTAACAATTGCATCAAACCACTATGGAGATTCTTCAACTCTAAATATCACCTTCCATTTACTCATATAAAAGTTTTAGCTCTTAATATTAATGGAATCTTTTGAGGTACATGAATTACAAATGGCATACATATATTGGTTTTCATGGTATATTATTTTGGTGAGCAACAAAACCACTGAAATACATCTCTGAAAACTTTCCCATTGATCTTTCAAATTTGCTTCTAAATGGGACACTAAAACAGAACCATGGCTTTCTGTCTAGTTAATCTTCAGCCAGCAGCATGAATTTTCTGCAGATAAACATTTTTTAAAATCCTACGGATCTGCCATTTCTGCTTTTTCTGTTACTTTGTACAAACAGTTACAAAGTTGTTTGTGTTTTCTCTAAATAGAGAAAATAATAGGGCCCTGCAATATTTTGGACAAGAAGAAGAAAAGGGCAGTGGAGTACATGGGGTGCTTACATAGTTGCCAACTATCAACTCCTTAAACGTGCCACACAAACGTGGGAAAAGACCCATTTGGTTTAAGGACTTACTAAGAGGTGTTAGATGTTAGACTTATTAAGAGGCATCAGATGAAGCACCTTGTCCTCTCTAAATCCAAATCCACAGCCCTAGAAAATAGGATGTTCGTGGGTGGAGGAAAATCCACCCTCTCCCTCTGCCAGCAGAACACTTCCAGTTCCAATCAGAATCTTTTGTGGATACTTCATGATTCTTAAAAAGGGGAGATCATTTGTCATATTATATCTTGTTTCGCTCTGAGCCATTGCAAAGCATACAATTCACACTTGTAAGAGGAATCAAACCACCACTTCTATATTCACCTATAGATTTTGATCCAAATTTCCATAAATATATTAGTCTGTTATACAAAAACGAGTCAAGTCTTCTCCATATGAGTTTTAAATACAAAAACAGACCCTACCTAGCTCCTGGCCAATATTATGTTCCTGACTTTTAAGAGTATTCCACTGTCACTGTGTTTTCCAAAACCCCTTTGATACAGTAAAGTTAA